CCCCCCAATTCCTGGGACAGTGGTCCGGAGTTCTCAGGCCCCTCCCCTGGAAGTTCCAGGTATGGGAACCAGCAGCTACAAACCCAACGCCTAGTCTTCAGGGGCAGGCTTCCAGGTCCTCTTCCTTCCCTCCTTACTAGGGGCCACCAAACAAGAGCATTTTCCCACTCTGGGCCTGGCTCAGAACAAGCAGGCCCAACTCACACTCCCGGGACCAAAGTGCCTCCTGCCTATCGCTGAGGGGGAGGGGCGGCCTCCCGCCAGACCCTTCGTGGAGGGAAGTGGCCTGCCTCAGCCCTTCCTGGTGACCGAGCCCCGGCAGCATCTCATCACCTGCCCTCAGGCACTTACACAAAGAAGCAGTGGGCAGCAGTGAGCACCCACTGGGCGTCGATCAGCGTGCCCCCACAAATGTGGGTGGTGCCGTAGTGCAGACTGACTTGCCAAGGCCACTTGCTCTCTGGGGCCAGTGCCCCTCCCACGATCCGCCCAGTCATGGCCCTCAGTCCACAGTCTGGGGGGAGCAGAAAAGATGACCGGTGAACTCTGCTCCCCTCAGAGCCCTGCCATGCTCCCTGGGCCCAGGGCAGGCTCGGCAGCTAGACCTGAGGGCAGCCACCCACCCATGGACACCACTTCGCCCACGGTCTGCTAGGGCACAGCTATTTCCTGCCAAAACAGTCTCACATGGCGGCTAGATCTCTAGGATCATCCAGTGGGAAGTTTGATCCTAGGCAGGTTCCCCGTTCCTCTCACTCATTCATTCTTTCAGGAATTCAACAAGTGCTCACTAAGTGTCCTTGTGCTGGGCATTGTGCTGGGCAAGGTGGCAGGATTAGGGTCACGATGGGAAATCTCAGGACTGCTGTCAGGAGCTCGGGAAAGCAGATCAAGTCTACCGTGACCCTCAACTAACAGGCACTGTGCTGGGATCTCTATCACCTCCAAAAACAGAGGAGAAATAAACTTCCCATGATACAGAGGTGGGCTTGTGCCCACATGGTTCCCAGTGGGTCATTTAGTGCTGTTGGGGACCCTTCATCCAAGGGAACATTTCCAAGCATTTTCTGGAGTGGGTCATCCCCCCAAAATCGTGGACAAGGAGGGCAGCCCTGAGAGTCTGTTCAGACATATGTTCTTTTCTTTCTGAGGAGGAAAGTGAGGAACCAGAGGCATCTGAGGGGTGGGCACCCCATGCATAGCACCGTGTGCCTGGCCCACTCAGAGAAACACCCCCCTGGTTATTGCTGAGAACACAGCACACCCATGGACCAATTACCAACTTGGGCTTAGGGGTCAGACCCTCGGTCAAATGCCAGCTCCTCACCTACCAAAGGTCTGACCTTGGGCAAAGTGAACGCTTCAGCCTCAGTACCTGCCTCGTGAGGGTTAAACACAACCGTGTCTGTAAGGAGATAGGCACAGTGCCTGGCACATAACATATGCACAGGGAGTTTGACTCTGGATCTAGTTCTTTGTCTGTTGCTATAGGAGCTGTAAGTGGCCCAGACCTGCTCTCCAGTCCTCTGCCCCCGCCCAGAAGCCAGAAGACTTGAATGGCTTCTCTGGTGTGAGTGAGGCTGCTGGGCAGAACGGTCAGGAGGAAGGGAAATGCTATTCTGGAACTGTCCAGTGCCTCCCGGGAATCCTGGCCCTGAAGCAGCCTGCTGGCTAAGCCCGTCTTCCCAGTGGACCTCCTGGGTCAGCCACCCCCCAGAGAGGTCCCATCCCTCTGCCCCTGACTCCCATCCACACAGGCCACATTCAGGAGGAAGAGCATCTTCTTACGGGAACACTGGAGAGAGACATACCGCTGGGAAGGGCATTCAGACCTGCGGAGGAAAGACAGAGGTGGGAAAAGGCTACATTAGCCGCCTCCTCTAAGAAGGCTTCCCTGATTGAGTCCTGCTCAGTCCCTATCCCATTTCTTTTGCAATGGATCCAGCCCTTCTCATGCGTTCTCCAGGAATAGAAAGAGCTCAGTGCAAACCATCTCCACTCCTCTCCTCACCCCCACTGTCCAGTGGCAGATGACACACATTGACCAGATTCACATCCTTTGAACTCATGACTCTTTGTCCCAGCGTCTTTCCACAACTAAGCAGGTAGCCTACCACTCCCTGGCAGGTTCCTCGATGCTCACCAGCAACACTGCATGCCCGTCACCTGGCACAAAGTGGGCGTCCAGGGCGCAGCTCATTCCCATCCCTCCCCTTCCTCATCGCTCCCCTTCTACCCCTTCTCTCGGAGCCTTGTTTTGTGTCTTCTCTCCTAAGCTGGAGTCCCCTCCGCCTCCCCTCAGCGGGCTTGGGGCAGGGCGGGCTGCAGTGCAAAGATGACATGAGATGAGGGGGCTCAGGGGGAGGCCAGTGCCTCCCAGACAGGCCCCTTGCCCCTGACCTTGGGCACCTGGCACTCCCCTGCTGCTGCTCCCCCCAAGCCCGCTCCCTGTAGCAGTGTTCACTCCAAACACCTGGATGATTAGTGGCCCCCAAGTTTATTAATTGTCTCTGGCAACCAGGTAAACTCTTGGGGACACCCCTGACCCCAAGGGGCTTTCTGCACCAAGCCTCCATAAGAAGGCGGGTGGTGAATAAGTTCTGTCTCTGAGATGCTCCTCACATTCACAGTGGACTCCTGGAGCCTGGGTCCCCAGAAAGGCCAAGGGAGAGGGGCTCCCTGACTTCAAAGCCCCCTGAACCCACATTCCCCTGCTCATGACAGGCAGCCTGGCCCGCCCGCCACACCTGTAGAGGCTCTCCTGGATGGTGGAGTTGTATTCGAAGACCGAGAAACTGCTGGCAGCACCCCTATAGGCCACCTCGTTTGTCCGGTACGCACTACAAAGGAAGAGAGGGGAACAGAGGGAGCCCTCTTGAGACGGAATCCACCCCCAGTCCCCCAGCTGCCTGCAGTCCTGGCAGCCCTGCTGACAGGGGCCAGAATCTGTCCTGGCCCCATATGGTCTGACCCCGACCACATAACCCTCACTGGCCCCCACTAGCCCCGTGTGCACATTACAGGTGAGAATCTTGTGCTCACCTGTCAGATCTCAGACCACAGTGTGTGTAAGAATCACCTCAAGGCGTTTGCTGAGCAAATTCTAAGACCTGATCCCAGAGATTCTGAATTTGGATGCATTTTAACAAAAGCCCAGGTCATTGTCACATGCACGCCATGGACTACTATCCATGTGGCAACTGTGTGCTTTTCTAGGGCACATGCATCTTTACACGAGAGCGGCCCTTGTGCATGCTGTTCTCTACCCAGGGACTCCTCCATTCTCTGCTCCCCGCCAAGTGCAGCCAGGCACCCTATCTGCTGTGCCCAGAGAGGTTCGCACATGTCCTATTGTTGCACAGGACATTAGGGCACTGTGCTATAATGATTGGTATCAGCCTCTGTCGCCCATTCCATACTAGAGGCTCTAAGGGCAGGGATCTTGTCTTGTTCCTTTGTGTCTGGGTGCCACGTACTAAAGCTCGGTGAGTGTTCTTTGAACAAATGACACTATCAACTGAAGCCCAGGGGAGGTTCAGACTTGCATAAGGTCACACAACTAAATGATAACAATGTCCGTGATCTTGCAACTAGACCACCCAGACTCCCCTTTCACAGGTGGGAACCCTGAGACTGAGGCAGGGACAGAGAACTGCTTCTAAGACCTAGTCCCCCAACCCGATCTTCTAGGAGCTTCTTCTACAGAGAGCCCACAGTGAGACCCTAAACCCTCCTCCCCACACCCTCACACACTGATGAACCCCAAAACTATTTGGCTTGAAAACACAGGCCAAGAGGGAGAATGGAGATGACTGTGTGGCCTGCAAATCAGGATCCCTTTCAGGTCACGTTCACCCCATTTCTCCTCCACCCACCAGATCAGCTTTGTTTAAAATCTTTAGAGCCAAAGATTCTTATGACTACCTGGCCACGCCCCCCCATTTCCTTCCCATTTGATGAGCTCTAGCCTAAGCCACGATGCCTCAGCTGGAAGGCCACTGAAGGGTATGCATAGCTCAGGCCTCTAGTTCCCAGAAGTGAGGAGACCAGAGCTGCTCACACGCCTTCCCACCTCAGAGGGCTAGAGTGACCATTCAATGGGACAACGGGCATGAGGCTGCTAGAATTCAAGGGTGTCCTGGGCAGTGACCTCAACACTGGTCCTCAAAAGTCTTTTTAATATGAGGTCCCTGCAATAAGCCTGGGACACCCTTGCAAAGAGCCAGAGACATCCCTGAAGCCAGGACCCTAGGGCAAGTGTTACCTCTCAAAACCCAGCTGCTGGCAGGTCTTCACAGAGTAGGAGCTGTTCCAGCTGTCGCTGCAGACGGGAATCCACTGATGGGAGGATCCCGAGTAGACTTTAAGCAGAGACTTGTCCCAGTCAAACCTCACTGCAGGGCAAGAACGGGACAGAGCAGGTCCTCAGACCCTGGGAGCTCCAGGTTTGGGAGAATGAACTGAGTAATGCTCTGAGAGGCTCCGCCCTGAAGCTCCTCACTGAGGCCTGGGTAATGCCCAGGAGCTTGGCCCCAGGGTTGATGACCATCAGTCAGTGCTTGGAAGTCCAAGACACTCAGTGAGGGCAGAGCCAAGGCAAGGGGCTGGAGCAGGGTAGAGAGCTCTCCCTCTGACAGGACCCAGGGGACCAGGAGCTGTCACCCCTAGAGGGCAGTGAGGTGCCCACATGAGAGTGGCAAGGGGGGCAAGGTCTATGATCTGACTGAGTGCTCACTAGACAGGTTCAGTCACAGACAGATGCAGTCATGGGCAAGGGCACAAGTAAAAGCTCAGATAGAATGGATGGGGCATGCACCCACAGACTCCCACATCGGGGCTATGCATGGACACCTGTGACAGCCTTGAGAGCGAGAGCCCAATGACACCTCTGTGCTCATCTAGACCAGTCGTTTGCAAATGGGCATTTATGAAACTGTAGGGGTAGAAGTCAGAGGTCACATGCTGGGCAAAGAGGAGGGGCACACAGACTGAAGCCCAGAGAAGGTAAGTGATATGCCCAAGTTACACAGCACTCAAGGCCAGGTTTCAAATGCAGCCTTCCATGACTAGAACCCAGGTCCTCCGATTCTCCATCCATTGCCCCTCATTTGAGTTTGCAGTCACTGGGGTGCACACATGCACACACGCATGCACAGCCTGCTTACCACAGCCCAGCTCGTCACTCTTCAGCTTGCAGTCAGCCACCCCGTCACAGCGCACAGCGTGCTTGGGGCAGCTCTCGGCTGCCTCCCTGTACTTGATCCTTGTGTGGCCCCGCCAGAAGTAGACTGGAAAAAATGAAGCAGACAGCGGGGTCACTGCCACCCCAGAGACAGGACACGGAGCAGCCCAGGCCCTGGGGGTTCTGAGACACCGACCTGCAATCCCTCTTGGACTCTGGGGCTCTCGTCCCCCATCTGTATGAAGAAAAAGGCTACTCAGGAATGCTCTGGAATACTCCAGAAAGCTCCTGCAAGCAGGGCAGCACCGGGCAGGCCAGAGGAAAAGAAGGAAAGAGAGGGAGGGAGGTGTGGGCGTGGGTACTATTGGGGAGGTCCCCTGCCTTATATGGGGCCAGAGCAGTGGCCAGGGAAACTACCTCCCCCCGTATCCCAGAGCCCTTCTGGCCTCTGTCTTCCCTGTGCTCCGCAGGGTGACAGCAGGGAAATTTCTAAATCTACAGGCTCACACACACCTTCAACCGCCACCTGCCCTGTTTTCTCCACGGTGGTCCTTCCAGCCTCAGAAGCTCCTGGATTGCCTTCCCCCCTCTCCCCGAGACAAGGAATGTCTCCTGTACTCAGTTTTTGCCCCATTCCTTGTCTTTATGCTTTTAAATGTCTTCCCACTAAAAAAGCAGCTCTGGATGCTGATGCCCGAATGCATGAGCTTTACAAACCTTCTGTGAAATCAGACCCCTGGTTTCTCCCTGTGTCTCTGACACCTTTCTCTTTCCAAACTAGGAACCGTGGCCCTCCTGCCTGGACACGCGTGGCCTTGGATGCCAAAGAAACCTGAGTCCTGGCTTCTCACTGTCCGTCGTCTGCAGCCGACTCCTGGCCCTGACCCCCACTTCTCCCTGGCCCCACTTCTCCTCCGTCACCCAAGGTGAAGGTCACCCTTGTGACTGCTCCTTCCAGGTTTAGACACCGATCCCTCCTGCTCTCGTGGCTGTGCCCTTGGCTTCCGCGCTCTGGTGCGTTCCCCTGACCTGTGCACTGAACGGGCCGCAGTCCCTCGACGAGCAGTGGGGACAGCTCAGGACTGAGTCAGGCCTGGGCTCTACTCGCAACCCCCTGGTATAGCTGCTCAGCGGCCACCTCCCTGGTGCTGGCAGGCCTACAGTCAGGGGACTGGAGGAGGTGTTGGGACCACGCCGAAAGCTCTAGCAGTCGGGCATTTGCTCCCGCTCTCAGTGGACCGCGGGGTTCACCTGGAGGGTGCCTGGTGTGAGGGAGGGAGAGCAGGGCAGAGCCCGAGCCCTGAGGAGGTTCACGTGGACACCCTGCTAACTAACCTGTGGGGGTCACACAGCTGGGAAGGACCAGAGACAGGTGCTCGCAGGGCTGTGTGGTGCCAAAGCTGTATCCCTAACGGGCACACTACCTGCTCCGGCACAACCTTTCTCCCACAGCCCTGCTGCCATCCTGCGTCCGCCACGCCCTGAATCTTGAGCACCATCCGCCCCTCAGCCTGGCATTTACAGCCTTCTAGGCCTGGCCATGCTGTACCCAAGCAAACAGCCATCCCCCAGGTCCCCAAAGCACATTCTGCTCTCTGGTTAGCGGCCCCTCCCC